GTTTCTGAGAAAAAAATTCCTAAGTGGACCCTATTTTCGCCAAAATGGGCAAAAATTGCAAACTTTGAAGGCTTGTCATTCCTTTACAAAATCGAAACCGGCAAAATGATGACTTAAACCACCCTTAATTTCACGTGGACTATAACATATTTCGATTAGAGTAAAATCGGAGATGCTGACTTCCAAAAGTGATCGATTTGGCATGGAATGACCCTTCTAAAATCCAAAGTACAACATTTCAAATGTACACTTCGCCTACACTAGACAAATCAGTTATCTAGTTTTTATGTAGTTTTTATTTTTCAAGATTACATGAATCGTAGTATTAAAGGTCATTAGATTCGTCTTGATCTCAATTACCATTCCATAACGATGAAAATATATTGTTTCGTTTTAAGAAACTTCAGTTACTTAAAAATCTCGAAAAATATGACCTTGAGAAAAATTTCCTAACCATTGTAATATTTGCCCGTTTAAAAAAATAATGTTTTCCTTTCACATTTTCTTCTATCATAAAAAATAAGCATGATATTCAAGATAGCAAGTCAGATGAGACATCAATTAAATTTTTAATTCTAAATCTTGGTCCTTAGAGTGGGATAAACCCAAAAATAGTCCAAGATATATATGTATATCCATACATACACACACTCTCTCATTCATTCACATGAGAAATGATATTTTTTTACATTTTTCATCATTTCATGATTTTTTAAGGCAGAAAAATAAAAAAAGTATAATAAACAGTTCATTACTGATACATCTGTTTCCTCTTTTGGTTACAATAATAATCTTATTCTTATTCTATTTTGAAATAGGGTACATAGCTTAAACTCTTGATTTCTTTAGACATTAATAATACGCAATTTTACTATTTATCATAATTTTGGTATTTTGTTAATCGTTCCTATTTCATTGTAGGAAAAATTGCAGAAATTGCAGAAATAACATATTATCGACAAACAAAATTTCATTAATGATCGGTTGCTTCAATAATTGTAATAAGAAAAAAGTGGAATGACATAGTTTACAATCGACTACAAATTATAAGGAAATAAAAAACAGAAGTTTGGTCAAATTCAGTGTAGCACTTATTGAGACTGTCAGGTGCAAACAATCAAACTTACAAACATTTTCTTTTTATATAACAGTAGACATTGTGTTTGGTATGTATTTTGTTTATTGAAAAGATGTACAATATGAACATATGATTTAACATTTATTTTTATCATCATGTACATCTATGAAGAAATAATTACATCAATTAAAGTCTCATTGTTAAATTAGATAATGGTCTATTCCTTAATTTATGTAATGGTCAATAAACTGCAGGAACTATATATGCTATTATTACAACATTACAAAAATATTTAAATACAAAAATTAGCTGTTGGCTAATATTTCTATTCTTAACATTGAACTTCTATATATTTTTACTCTTTGGTAAATTTTTAATTTCTTTCAGAAACAGTTATAAAAAATAAATATTAATATAAATACAGAATATGAAATTAATTCAGGAAGTTATATTTGTACTATGTCATTTTGTATTTAATAAAGAGAATTAATATTTTTAAATAAATTAAACAGTTAATTATTATAATGAATACTGTGATACTTTGTTGTGCGTAAACTGTGTATAATTAAACAGTTTCATATTTTAAAAAGTAACATTCAATAGATTCAACAAAAAACAAACCAATTAACATGTATAAAATAAATCAATATTTGAACATTTCATAAATGTTATGTTAAATAAATAGTACTCAGTAATTATACTAATCACCATAAATAATTATAAAATGAGACTAATCGCCATAAATAGTTATAAAATGAGAAACCATAATTTATCCTATTTCCATACAATAAAAAATTACTTGAAATAATATTGAAATGATCTAAAACTGTTTCTCAAAATTATCAAGATGATGTAATCATTTTTAGTACATCACCCAATTCATCTGCATAATAATCTGGAACTATCAAATTTTTAGAATCTGCCATAGGTGTGTTCATAGCATCTACTTCATTTTTTGTTGTAACACCCGTCAATACTAATAAAGTTTTAAAACCACATTTTTTTCCAAGAAGAATATCAGTCGAGCAACTGAAATAAAATAATATTTTTTAATAACATAATAAATGAAAAAAAAAGCATATTATTGTCATAATAACACTATTTACTTGTCACCAATCATAAGTGTCCTTGCAGGATTTAAACCATACTTCTTTGTTATATATTCAATTAGAAAAGATTCTGGTTTTCCAAGCATCACGGGTGCCCTATTACATGCTGACTCTATACATTTTATAAAGCATCCAGTTCCTGTAATATAAAATGCAAATATATTCTAATTCCATAAACTTTATAAACAGTATACACTTTAAAACTTACGGAGAAAAATCTGATAAATAGTTTCAAGCAAATATTTTTCTAACCTGGAAATTTATTGCCATTTGGAGAGGGTCTTTCTGTATCACAATTTGTTCCAATAAAATGAACATTTGGGTCTTGTAAATAAGTAGCAGCTTTCGCAAGCTTAGGAAAACTGAAATACTTGTCAAATCCTACAATAACTGCCCCAACTTCTGGATCTGGCTTAAAATTTGTTATCAATTCCACTTCATCGCCATCCATGGCATCGGGCTAAACAAAATACAAATATTTTACAGTAAATTTATAGTAAAATAAATCATTCCAAAATCTATAAAAACTAAAAACTAAAAACTTACTCCTATGCCACAATGTTTAATATTTTCTGCTTCAAGCTCTTTAGTCAAACCAATACTACCAACTACATATGCTTTTTTATCAAATTTTTTCTCTTTCAAATACACAGCAGCTAAAAATGAAGTGCATACTATTTCATCCTGAAACAGTGATAAAGAAATTATTTTATATGATTGACATTAACTTATTATTAATTCAAAAAAATGTATCTATTAAATTTACCAATGTTGCATCATAGTTAAGATTTTTACATTTTTCTATAAATTCAGACCTGGTTTTGGTATTATTATTTGTTACATAGAAAAATTTTTTACCCAATTGTTTGAATTTATTTACTGCCTCAGGTGAATTCTGTATTACTTCTGTTTCCCTCCATAGTACGCCTAAGGTTTACTAAGATTAAAACACCATTTATCGCATTTTATATAAAATTATTCAAATATTTTATCTATTCTGAGCTAACATACTTCAATATTAGAAGTACAATATGCTGAGATGGTAAAAAATTGTCACTTACATTTTCAATTATTTTCAATGTATTAAAAAAAAGACGAAAATAATTACTTACCATCACAATCTGATAAAACCACGTCAATTGATTCCATGAAATTATTAAATTCCTCTTTGGATAATGATGTTATGTGTTTTGTTGGCATTTTGCGAGTACTGATGGACACAACTCTCTGAACAGAAATGTAGTTAAGTTTTGCTTTGCATACACAGTAGTCTCTTCATCAATTAACCGCGGTAATAGCTAAAAAGAGAATCTGAAACAGAATATATCCTATTCGCGAACCACGCGTTTAAAGCGCGACCTTGCGTGCTTGTTACATAATATATAGGGATATAAACTGTTCCTATTTCATTCATAAGAACCAATAAATATAATTGATGATGATTACAGTATAATACTACCGGTAGAAATAAAATAGCATTTTACATCGTTTATTACAATCTTTCTATTCATTTTCAATTACACATTCATTTAACATTTTTGAAATGTATGTATAAACACCAACATCAAACTGTTATAATTCGAAATATTTAAAATGTAACTAAATATTAAATATCAAATTATTAATATGTACACAATGTAACAAAATCTATATGTTGCAATCAATTTTCGTTTATTATTGCGCATACCTCAAAAAGCTATTTTTTGTAAAGAAATAGATTGAATATGAAATTATTTCCCGTTCAATGCGTGATCATAATCATTTCGGGCAATGCTGCTAACTTCAGTATGCTCCCTACTTTTTTACCGCGTTTCACCGTCATGTGCTCTTCTTTCGTAGAAGATTAAAATACATAGTGGTTAAAAATACACGAATAGAAGGAAGAGCTAATCATGTTAGTGAGTATACAAAATTTTTTCCCACTGGATATATATGCTGGACATCACAAATGGCGGAAGACGCTTGCGCGTTACTTTCGGTTGCGAAGTAAACTTGAACTGATCAGAGCCGACTTGCGCAAAACGAGCGAAAACTGATCGATCAAGTATTTTCTATTATTGAACGTACTATCGGAAGAAGAATAAGGTAGTTTTTTTTCAGTAATGTTTGCAAACATGCAAGTATCGTACCAATATAAAATTGAACATACGAATTAAGAGTCCCCTAAAATTTATTTCTTCAGTAATCATTCGAGATACGTAAATCTTTCTGGTCCGAAGTTTTGTGTATATCGTACAGGTCCTGCATTCTTTGATATTTTGCCGAACACAAAAAAGAACAGCGAGCGATGGAGATACAAATAGTAACATATCCGTGGAACAATCCTATTATAAAAACAAACTTTTTTTATTACTGACTTTTTTATGAAACTTTTTACATATTTATACATATTTATTTATAATTCCAATCGTTAACATCGAGAATTTTACTTCAGTATGATATTGCAAGTAAATATGACTCGAATTACGTCGTGTTTGGTCTCATTTTAATCAGAAAAATGTGGAAAATCTATTAATAAAAGTTTGATAACGAAAAAATAAAAATTTTATATTTAAGGCGCCTCGAGAGGCCTTTCCCTCGGTGATTGTAGGTAACATTTTTGCTTTTATCATAAAAGACATATTTGCTTATATAAAATGATTACTGTACTTCAATACATTTATGATATGTATTTAATTATAAAATAATTTCTTAAAAATTACATGACATCTTTTGTACTTTATTTTTATTACATTAATTTAAACAATGACTTTAAAAAAGATAAAAACAAATATTTCTATACACTGGAGAATTAGCCTATATTATGAATGACTATCATTCAAATATAACGAATAATACGTAACGTGACAAATTAAGCTCAAACCAAATACGTGCTAAAATTATATAACTAAATATATGTGCAGTGAGTCACAGACAGAATAATATCCCGTATATATTATTAATTGTTCACATAGAAAGAAGAAACCAAGTTTTATGAAATTTTTGACACAAAACGAAGGCACAGATTGTCAGGTGTAAGTAATGGGATGGGGTAGCTCACGCGTGCAACATTGTTTAGAGTAGATCAGGGGTCGGCAACCTTTTTCGGATGGCGGGCCATTTTCAAAATAAAATTTTGTATGCGGGCCGCACATTCAAATGTAACTTAAATAGTGCTTTTATATCATATACGAGTATAAATACATTATAAATAACATGTATTTCTCATTACCTATTGTAGTGAAACGTCATACGGTTGTCAATTTGAACGTGTTTACATGCAAAATGCACATATGAATATACAGTGGCGAAATGAAAGAATGCTACACTTGTTAAGCGAACCGTTGCGTCGTATTCGCTGGAGAGTGGGGACTAAACTTGCGCAGTAAAATAGGTTTCCCAATATGCTTCTGTTAGCGCGCATTTTTGTCACCGGCCACATTTCGGCACGCTCACGCTCTAAGTTTGTTCATTTTTCCTAAAATTATATTGGTGCTTTGGCGGGCCGCACAAAAAGTTGCAAAGGGCCGCATGCGGCCCGCGGCCCGCAGGTTGCCGACCCCTGTTATAGATGATGTATATGATAACATGACTTAATAAATTATACCAAGGGAAAAAATTCGCTGAATTTTGCATAAAAGCAAGATCACGACAAAATACAAATGCAGTTTGAAAAACTGTTTTATATTTCTAAAGAACATATACAAGTATATAAAATCAAATGTTTGGATTTTGCAAATGTTATTATTTAGTTCCTATTATAGATAAAACGTATAGAAGTGGCGAAATATCGACTTTCATAAAAATTGTATGCGGTTAACTATTCAATACTGATAATAATATTTATTATTAAATCATATGAAAATGTTTGATAGGAATATTAGAAATATTGAATTGATAAATAAAAATGTAAATAAAATAAAATATTCCAATGGTTTAAAATAAAACAAACCTTAAGTGAAAAATTCAAACAGATATCAAGAGTATATTGTTTCCAATGCGATAATGATTCGACGCATACCTTGCATATACATATAATTTTAAAAAAGGATACTCTGCATTTTTTATAAACAATTATAAAAATTTACCATATTTATTATAAATCTTACCAAACATCCATATACGTAAATGATTAAAAGTTGCAAAATTATAATGTAAAGAATAGATAAAAAAAGGAATGAATGAAGTGCAGAAAAATGTACTATATTTATAACATAGAATTTAGTGGAATCAATGCCAAAATGTTGCCAAACTGATAAATGCTAAGAAGTGTATTATGCGATCCAAAAATATATTAATTTAGTAATATTTTACTTAAGCGTTAAGCACTTCACTTTAGATCACACATATAAAAATATATCATTCCATCTTATGAAAGATACAATAAATGTATATGCATGTTTTTCTCGTACATTGTAATTCTTTCCGTTATTTTTAAAGAACACACTATATAACAAATGTTCATTCTGCGCATGAGTCAGATTTGATTCAAGCACGTGCACGGCCATATACATAGATATGTATAGACATAATACGACCTTTGATATTTAATATACAACATATTTCGTTTCGATGTCATTATTTTCTAACGCTATTGGTTGCACAAAGTTAATTCTTCCGAGGATCAAAATATGTATTTGTAGTTTTAACATTTGACATATGAATATTCTCTGTACATATTATATATATACTTTATATGCGCACATGTTTACTCTTCCACATTCTTTATAGTTAGATTAATATATTACTCTTGATATATCACAATTTATATTGTTCACCTAAAGGAAATAATCATTCCAGGCATATTTATTATTAGTCTGAATACATAAAACAGTTATAATCTTGTTAAAAATTTTAAATTTTAGATATATTTATAGATGCATAAGTACTAACTTGCTGGAATAATGAAATAATTTTAAAGAAAACAAGTTTAAATGTTTTTTTTGCGCACTTTTTTAAAAACTTACTTTCAGGGCTCTATCAGTAAAAGCAAAATCTATTCTTTCTGTATTAATAACAAAGTTTTAAATTATTTTGACATAAGTAAATTATATTTCAACAAAGGAGGAATGTATTGAAAATAAGTACATATGTTTACATATTTTAATTCCACATGTATTTTCAATAAATACATTTGTTTTAAGTATGATTATTTTAATCACACTACAAAGTTAGTGTGTAGTTTTGTAGATAGCAATGTTATCTATATTACATTTGAGACTTCTTATACTTTTCTAAATGAGGTAGTAAATCTCCAATTGATTCAATATAATAATCAGGAATGAAATTTTTGTCTTCTGAACATTCTGATTGTTTCCATCTATTTATATCTTCTAACCTGGTTATTCCTGTTAAAACCAGTAATGTTTTGAAGCCACAACGTTTTCCTAATAATATATCTGTATTATGTCTATCTCCAATCATCAGTGTTCGTTCTGTATTTACTTGAAATCGTTTTAGCAGTACATCTGCTACATACGGCTCTGGTTTTCCTATTACCACAGCTTTTCTTTCTGCACAACTTTCTATACATCGTACCAAACTTCCAGTACCTAGTTGAAAAAAAATTATTCTTAAAGTTCAAATTTTAAATAATTCAACAATCAAAATTAAATACTTACGTACCAGGTATAACAACATTACTAGAAATAGGAAACCTTTCGTCTCTATTTGTTGCAATAAAATGTACGTCAGGATCATTTAAATATGAGGCTGCTTTTACCATCTTAGGATAACTAAAATGCTCATCAAAACCAACTATAACTGCACCGACTTCAGGATCTTTGTTAAACGCAGTATATGGTAAATTTTTATTAATAGGATCCGGTCCTACACCAGTGTGTGAAATGCCAGCTTCTTCCAACTCTTTTCCAATTGCTAAAATGAAAAAATTTTATAATATCATTGTATTTTAAAATATAAATCTCAATAATATAATAATATAAAAAAATAGTGCAAACAATGCTCACCTTCTGATCCTATAACATAAACTTTCTTGTTAAAACCTAGATCTTGTAAATAACACGCAGACAAATTTGCAGTGCATAAAATTTTTTCTTTAGAAGTTTCAAAATTAAAAATTTTACATTTATTTACAAATTCTGTCCTTGTTTTTGTACTATTATTTGTTACATAAAAGACTCTTTTGTTAACAGAGTGAAAAGCATTTATAACTTCTGCTGCATTTGGTATAGGGTTCATAATCATCCAAAGCACGCCTGTAAAACATAAAATTTACATTATTCATTTTATTTAATAAAAATATATTGAACACATGACACTTACCATCACAATCAGTAAGTACAGTATCAAAAGAATTAAAAAATTCGTTTACATCTTCATCACTGAGTGTATTAAAATCTATTGCAGCCATGCTAAAAAATGTAAAATTTTGTATAATAAATTACAAATTAATATAAAATATAAATATTTAAATTTTATTCATAGATCAATAAGTGTCATAAAGTATTATATCATAAAAGTATATAAAAATTATTTTAAAAATATAAATGAAAATAAAATAATAAAAATTTGTGTTATGAGAAGAAAAAATAAAATTTCAAATTTTATTTTAATAAAATCCGGAAGTGAATTGGTTTCCGATTAAACACTCTCTAACAGGGTTGCCATTATTAGTTAATGTTAGATAAGTTGTAGTTTATTATATTCTTACTATGTTGATAAATCATTTTTTTTAAGCCACAGTTTCTTTAATAAAAATTATAGTAAAAAGTTGTACATTTGTTTCAGATATATAGGTTAGATTTAAATAAATTTCTGTCGATACAACTTACAATATATTTATGTTTTGTTTATTTTTTAGTTTTAATATTATTAATAATGCTATAAACTTAATCTTTTTCACTTACGATATTTATAACACTCACGTTTTTTTAATAAGGTTAAATTCTTTATCTAATCCTGGAGTTATAGATTTTTTTTTCTTACTTTGCCACCTTCATTCGTGCAATTTTGAATTTAAAAAAATAAATGTGTCTGAAACTAAAGTAAGCTAAAGTTCATATTAAAATATTAATTTTCAGAAATATTTTTTTAATTTAATCATTAACGTTAAAATAATCAGAGAATTCACTAACTTTAATTTTACGAATGTAATTAATGGTATGTAATATTCATGAGAAAGTAATGTATGCAATAGATAAACATCGTAGACGTAAGCGATTATTATCCGAATATTAGATAACAAACTGGAAGTTTTATTAATACTATAAAAATTTTCCTAAGCCTTTCTAATTAGATATTATCAGTATATTTTATGCTTATAAATAACAAAAATATAAATAAACATTAGTTATTTGTTAAAAACTTAGAATAATAACGTGAAATTCAAGTTTTTAAAAAGATATTGAGAAGAGTGATAAACAAAATCTATCCAAAATATATTAGCATAATATACATAATAATAATGTTCTTTTGGTTAAAAGTCATCTTGGTTTTCTTCATATGAGTAATTTTCTTGCTTTACATGATAATTATTTTAAGGCAGGAAAGTAATTTTCTATAAAGATTTATTTTGCACAACTTTATTCAATGATTATATATTAGTATAACTTTCTTTTACAGAGAGTTTATATTTAAATGCTTAATAGGATTTTACGTAAATATGAGTTTTAAAAATGGTTTTTCAGAACATAATAAAATATTATTTGATTTTTTTATCATCAAATGATATAATAATTTCATACCTTTTTTAAATAATTTGAAAATTACAATTTCATACAAAATTATTTTTGAAGGCTTATATAATTGTACCTCTATTATTAAGAAATTTTTTGAATTATAATTACAATTAAGGATTGTAATTATAGTTGATAGTTGTAGCATGTATATATAAATCATGTACACATATTGCACCTTTGTGTTTCTCGAATCATCAATATGCTGCGAAACAGTTTTTCATACAATTGTGAAAATCTGACTTATTTATCTTCATAGTTTGAGCAAAGAAAAACAGTTACTACACTCTTTATGATGCATATTACACTGTGCTATATCTTATAAATGTCTTATTATATAAATAATAACAATACATAACAGGTACAATACTAAAGCAGACAAAGAACGGTGAAATGTTATGTCACTTTTGTATTCAGTACTTATTGATAATGCAAATTATAATTTAAAAATTCAAGTAAAATTAATTACAGTTGAAGTATTAGTACGTCACAAATAGTCAAAAAATAGTACAAAAAGTTAAAGATTAAATAATTTAATAATGTTTAAACATATTCAAAAATAGTTTTTTACTTTTTCTGGGAAACATGTTTTTTGCAAATCATGGATTTGTTATCATCAAGGTATGATATGGTACATTAAAATTCATGCTTTGGCTAAATATAATCACAGTATGTAGAAAATATTGAATGGTAATCATACATAAGTTATTTGAATTAATTTTTCAATAAAAAATCTGCTTTCCACTGAAAAAAAATATGAAAATAACACATATTTTCAATTATTGTAAATTAATTTTCAAATTTTACTGATCTGTTTTTTTGTTAGAAAGAACATAAAAATAACTTGTTCATTTGCAATAAGCCACAAAAGAGTTTAAAATTGGTACAAATACCAGAATTAGACAATGTGCTTTCATTGTTTTGGAAAAAATCAATTAATCAGAATTATAAAGAAAACTGCGAGTTACTTTTTAAAACAGTTTAGATTATAATGAAAATTTAAAAGGTACCCATTGTAGATTTAATGGCAATGTATGAGATATCTTCAATTTAAAATTGTAAAAAGGAAATAAAATGATTTTTTATTTTTTCACTTATTTATTCAGGTTATCACTTGTTTAATGAAAATGCTGTTTAAATCTAAACTTTAAATTTAGCATTAATCAATTCAATTGCTGTTAGATATTGCTGAATGCAATGTTTTGAAAAAATTACAATTTGTGAAATTTGGGAGGGAGAATTAAAAGTTACATTTTTCAAAATTTTTATCTGACATACTTTATGGTACCTTTTCATTGAAAATTCGGCATTTATATATATACATGTACAAGAAGTAAGTAATTAATGCAATTATCTAATATCTAAGGTCTTCCGCCACGTGCATATTATGAACGCAAACAGTACTATACTTATCAATTCCTAATCACACAATGATAATATAATCTTACAAACTAAAGCAATTCATGTCCATGATAATAGAGTTTAAGCTACATTTGAACAATATTTGAATAATATTAATACAGTATGAACTCAAGATATTAACGATACAACAAGATTAATAAACCTAACCTCAATTTTCATCGGTGAGAGCGTCCGGTCTTACACATGTTAACTTAAGCTTATTTATATGAACAATCTTAAATTTATTTTTCCCTATCTCTAATTCTACAGTTAAATCACTAAACTTTCGACTTATCTTATAAGGACCAAGCCAATCACAATCGAATATTGAGTTCCTAGGTTCCTGAAGTAAATATACAAGATCGTTTATTACAAATTCATGTGGATTTAGTGTTCGATCATAATATGCTTTACTTTTCCGTTTTACTTTTTCTAGATTTTGTGCTACATACAACGGACTGTGTAGTGGTAATCTTAGCAAGAAGATCATCGTAATACTGTATAAATGTCCGGGGTGCTGGTTTTGTGGCAAATTCAGAGGGTATGTTGGCTTTAGCGCCGAAAACTAATTCATGCGGGGTAAATCCAGTGGCTTCATGCACTGAAGTGTTATAGGAAAACATACAGAATCTTATCCAATCATCCTAGTCTGTCTTTGTACAATATAATTTTAGATAATTAATGAAGCTACAGTGTGCTCTTTCAACAGAACCTAGTGATTGAAGGTGAAATGCAGTAGAAGTTATAGTCTGTATTTTGAAGATCCTAGAGAAATGTTTCATTACCTTACTAACAATGTTCCATCCTCGATCCGTGTGTATGACTCTTGGACAACCAAATCTACTGATAAATTGATCAGCAAGTACATGGGCAATTGTTGTGGTGTCTATGGACTTTATGGGGATTGCGTCAGAATACTTACAAGGGAACATATCTAACTCCGACACGCCGATTTTTATGAAACTTATGTGAGATATAGTTCTCAAAAAAATATTTGACACGTATTTTTTTTTATCGGCAATCGTGCATATTGAAGGGGTGAAAATAGCCCTCGAAGTTGGGGGTGGAAATCATATTTTTGGGAATATCTCCGGAATTAAAGAAGATAATTCGATTCTTTTTTTTGTAAATTGTTCGTCTTTAAATAGGGAATTTTTGTGCGTAAAAAAATTTCAATAAACTTTATTTGTTTAAATAAAATTTCAAAAATTTATAATTTTTGTTTAAATTTTTGCATTAAATGTTAATCTATTTTCTTGCAACTCCGTGTACATAAACTATAGACAAAAATAGGGGATACGTGTTTTTGGAATTTGTTGTTTGTTGCAATATTTATTAGATATTTGTTTGTTGCAATGTTTATTAGATATATAATTTTAAATCACCTCCTGTGAAGAGGGGCAATCAGTATTTTTATTAAAAATATCATTATTTTTACAATCTTTTACATTATTTCAGTGATTTTATACCTCTTCATATGCCGTTAATTGATTTCTGAACAATTATTGTAAGCGTCGCAGTATGAGCGTCACGCGGTTATGATTAACGCCGCGTCGTAAGGAACATAGGCTTTTATGGCCAATACTACTTTTATACTTTTACAGGCGTAAATAATCATATTTTTAATAAAAATACTGATTGCCCCTCTTCACAGGAGGTGATTTTAAATTATATATCTAATAAATATTGCAACAAACAACAAATTCCAAAAACACGTATCCCCTATTTTTGTCTATAGTTTATGTACACGGAGTTGCAAGAAAATAAATCAACATTTAATGCAAAAATTTAAACAAAAATTGTAAATTTTGAAAATATTATTTAAACAAATAAAGTTTATTGAAATTTTTTTTTGCACAAAAATTGCCTATTAAAAGACCAACAATTTACAAAAAAAAGAATCCAATTATCTTCTTTAATTCCGGAGATATTCAAAAATATGATTTCCACCCCCAACTTCGAGGGCTATTTTCACCCCTTCAATATGCACGATTGCCGATAAAAAAAAATACGTGTCAAATATTTTTTGAGAACTATATCTCACATAAGTTTCATCAAAATCGGCGTGTCGAAGTTGGATATGTTCCCTTGTTAGTAAGATTGTCCTGTAAAGTAAGCAAATACTGATTTCCTTTAATAGTCTTGGGTAAAGGTCCTACAATCCATTTGTACCTTCTCAAAAGCTTGTTGTGGAGTATCTGTAATTCGAAATTCAGGTTTTACGTTCGTTGTTTGTGTCGCGATGCAATGAATATGGGTGATTTCTTTCTCCACGATTTTGACGCCTAAAATTATCACGATTTTATTCCCAAGATCGACGATCCCTTCGCATGATACAATTTGCGCAAATATGACCAGGTTTCCCACAACTAAAACATTTACGTTCATGTGTCTCTACTGTTAAAATTTTAGAATGATCATTCAAATTATATGTGTTTTTAAAGATCCGTGCGGGTTTCATCTGTACTTCTATTTTTGAGGCTAATTGAATGACGGTTCTTAAATCTTGCACATCATTCTTTGAAATAATACCCGCGATGACATCATTTTTTAATCCTCTCAAGAATCCCTGGATTGCATTTTCAATTAAAAGTGATCGCATACCTTCAAATCGTTGTGAATCGTATTTTTCGCGAGCTGCTTGTACACCTTATTCTAAAATATACTGTACCTTTATTCTGAACTCATCTATTGTCTCATGTTCATTTCATCGCAGTGCTCTTAATTCGTCTTGTGCGCCTTCTATATTAAAGCTTCGGGTATACGCGGATTTTAATAAATCAATTATTTCTTCTGTAGTTTTTAGTTGTTTACTACCTATTATCGCGCTACAAACGCGAGATTCTATGCGATTACGTATTATAGCCTGCAAGTACTTCTTATTGCCGGTCTTGACTAAGGAGTCAACCAAACAACATTGTGAAATAAAATGATTTACCATAGAGGGTTTACCATTAAAGTGAGGGATCAATTTTGCGATAATATCGAATGGGGTACACGACATGGATTCAGAGAATGCAGATGATGTTCTGGCGGTATCTTTATCAGAAATATGTAGGTGCAAGGTTTGAACTGAAGTTAAATTCGTTTCAATTAATTGAAGTTCATTTGAAGTTAACCCTTTGCGATCGGTGCCGCCACTGTGGTGGCATTTTGAAACTGTTTTAGAAGTCGGTGTCGCCGCTGTAGCAGCATTTCGAAAATGTTTTAGAAGTCGGTGTTGCCGCTGTGACGGCATGATCACACCTCGAAAGAGCAATCCAGAAAAAGTGAGATTAACAGAATATTAGCCATTTCGGACGTCTCACGCGTTACTTTACCATCGAGAAATATATGATAAGTAAATACAAATAAATTTATAAATAAATAAAAATATAATAAATTATAAATTGAATTTCAATATTTAGTAAGAAATAAACATTCCAATTGTTCAGGATTTCAAGGGACATTCATTGGCGATATTAACGGTTTGAGACTTTGATTTTATATGAAAACCATTGCCGCTCAACCATGGTAACCGGGCGTTTATTACCTGAAGTCCAAAAAGGACATCGGTGCGCTACCTTTCCCAAGCAAATCATGCCGACAGAGGTAGATAGACAATTCTAAAAATGGCATAATACCGTAAAATGCGTCCTATGGTAATAAAGGGGGAAGCAAATTCTCGGAATCGGTGCGTTTCGTACCTAATGACACCGATTTCCTGCGCTTCGCTCCTGAACGTTCTTCAGAAGAAGTATACCTGACTAATTTTCCCGGAGTAACCAATCAGAGACTAAAAAAGACATGCACAGTGACATCTTTTTTTGACTCTTACTTGTACCCACGCTTCCGCGTCGCAAAATTCAGACAGAATTCCAAAAACCTTCGGACGCAATACATCGCCATCGCAGAGTATTCCTCGAAGAACCAAGTGCAAGTATAATCAAGACCCGTTCTTTACAAAGTGTTAACTGTAAGACCATCGTCCTTCCTAAAAATGGAGCAGCATAGGAATGATTCTCAATGTATTGATAGTAGTGATGATGGGCTGGAAGTTGAAGAGTATAACGAAAGTGCGAACAATTCGTGTATGTATGACTCTCTACAAGATATTGAAAGTGACGCCAGTGATTGTATAGCTCCTCCTAAGAGACGGAATGTAGCAAGAACTGTTAGTGGAAGTGAGGAGAGTCAAGACGATGAAGAAGAAGATTCTGGAGAAAGAGGAAACTCAAATAACAGTGAGGAATGGGAAGACGTCACAGAAAAAGACGATTTGCCATTTAGTTTCGCATTCAAAACTTCTCCCCGAACAGCAGGACCACAAATATCTCGGGACGTGATAAAACCACTGCACTTCTTCAAGTTATATTTCACGGACATATTGATGGACCAAATAATAAAGGAGACCAATAAATACGCAAGAAAGAAGATCAATGAAAAACAGTTGGCTAGCAATTCAATTTGGCATTCGTGGTTCGACGTTACCCGTGAAGAGTTCATGGCTTTCATCGGCGTAATTCTTAACATGAGAACAATGCCACTTCCAAATATAGCGGAGTATTGGTCAACTAGGAGCAACAGCAGAATTCCTTTTTATTCGCAAACATTCACAAGAGATAGATTCCGGCAAATTTTTTGGATGCTACACCTACGAACCGATGCATCGTCTGATACATCGCTGAAAACCCGCACTAGGAAGGCGGACGACTTTCTCCAATACATCAACACAAAATTTGCTGAACATTTCACACCTAGCAAGGATATTTGTATCTACGAGTCGATAGTAAAATTTAAGGGCAGGATTGCGTTAATCACGTACAACCCCAAAAAACCAACTAAATGGGGTATAAGGATTTATGTATTGGCTGATGTGAAAACCGGATATGTATATTCAATTTTGCCGTATTATGGAAGTTTGACGACCGAAACTTTAGAGAAACCAGAACTTCCAATTAGTTCCAGAATTCCATTGACACTCATAAAAAAACTTCTCAACAACGTTCCAAACGCAGAGGGCTACCACCTGTATACAGACAGATTTTTTACAAGTATTCCGCTTGCGGATGAGCTTTTCAAGATGAAGATCCATTTGACAGGAACAATAATGCCAAACCGGAAACACTTGCCAGCTCAAATTAAAAAGCCTAGATTTTTAATAAAGTCTACAGTAGCATACAAGAAGAATAATACACTAGTCCTCGCGTGGAAGAGCAAACGGATAGTGACTTTCCTGAGCACCAGCGAAACAACAAGTCTCCAAAACACTACATCAAGAATACGCGGTGGTGATAAAATAAATATATTAAAGCCAGTTATAGCCGTTAATTACGCGAAAAAAATGAGACCCGTGGATCGCGCTGACCAATATGCAGCATCGTACTGTTTTTTGCGAAAGTCGTTAAAATGGTGGCGTAAATTGTTTTTTTGGGGTATGGAGATGTGCGTGATCAACTCCTATATTATGTACAAAACGATACAAGAAACCAATAATGAAAAACCGCTAAATCATTTGAATTTCGTGAAGTGTTTGGTTGACGAGTTGGTAGGAACATTCCGACAGGGAACACCATCTGGAATACAGCCGTCCACATCTTTTGTAGACAATAGGTTAGATAATAAGCTGCATATAATGCGTTCAGGGACCAAAAAAGATTGTGCAGTATGTTCCGACAGGAAAACCCCCGGCAAAAGGCGAGAAACACGCACATATTGTGTCACTTGTTTTCGGACGCCAGGGCTTCATATCGGCGATTGCTTTGAAAAATATCATACGTTATCAAATTACAAAAGCTAAATTTTTCCGTTTTTATGTACTTTAAGCGATATTAAACATTACAAATCAGCATCAACATATTGTGTGTTTTTAAATGTAGATATACCCACCTTAAACCCACCTAATAATGACTCCGAAAAGCTAAATTTGCCCCGACTACTAGCCGAAAAATCTGCCGACTGCAAAGGGTTAAGCCTGTTCCTGCCATCCGAGATTCATTAGTCTGTGAAGAGGAAGGTGTCACGTTATCATGCAAGTCCAAGACTAAGGAAGATTCATTCGATCGGGATTGAAGATTATTAAAAGAAGAGAAAGATCCTAGAAATTCCTGGTATGACATCCCCAACGACTACAATCCCTGAACCACATAGACCCGGCTTACGACTATTTTTAGCGCGCACGAATTTTTTTAAGAATGGCAGCATTTTACAAAGTGGTACGTAACGATTATAACTTATAAATCTAAACTTACAAACTTAGTTGGTTTAATCAATAAAATAGTAACGCTTATTAACTTAATAAAGTTGTTCAAATGTTCACAGAATCTCTTGCCTGTCCGTCGGTAATCGGTAGTCCGCAATAACTGGAATTGCTGGTCCACAACAACTGCAACCTGCTGATCCGCAACAATAAGTCTGTCACAATCACTTTGTTTAAATTTGCAATTACTTACAACTAACACCTTTTAAAATTTATCCTTTCTTCTGAACTGTCCCTTTTTGAATTATGCCACCGCTGTCACCAAAAATGTTGCGTGTACCGTTCGCGGTTTAGAGAATTTAAGGTGTGGGTAGGTTCACCCGTGGAGCGCTCAGACGTTCTGCTCGCGGTGTGCAGAATTAATTCAAACAAAATTTTAATTGAATAGACAATGTCCAACTATTTATTCAAAAAGTAGCAAAGTATTATAATGAGAGCGAACTGGAACGTATGAATGATAAAATTCGGATCGATGCCCCTTCCTTGCTGGATTCTGGATCCTCCCTTAGGACCATTCCTTGTCCAATGGTGGAGGAGTCCATCCCGTCCGATGTGGGCCCCTTCTTCCGGCTGTGGTCCACCCTCAGCCGCGTGGTGATGGAGGCACTCTAAGACGCGGGAACGTAACAGCGCACATGTGCTTAGAGAAAGCGTGGGACCCAGAGAAAACGAAAAACACCAAGTCCTTGTACTAGCGAAAATTCGACCCTCGAGTAAAGACAGGATATTCGTAAAAGATTTCGAAGCTTTCAAGGACCGTGCGTGACTTAGTCAAAAACAGCGAATTTGATACGGTTTCTAATAAATTAATCCTTAAAGAATTTCGAAGTGAAGCTATGTTTATTCTCTGGATTCCCAATCTTTTCCTAGCGTGAACACCCACGTCGAGTGGCTTTAACAATATAAGCTTTGTCTTATACATGAACGCACGCTTAGATGGTTTGAATTTCGCTCCTAATCTATGGCCATTGATATAACAAAATACAGACGTGCTGTAAATATTTTCATGTCCTGGTCGCCATACTACATTAACCATATTCATGACGATAACAATATACGTTACACTTTACGAAAGCATATCCAACATACTAATTCTTCTTATTGTAAAGACATTATTCTGTTATTCATGATACATAAACATTTTTATGTCTCTAAATTATACTCTTGAAAACTTAAAGTTAATTTTAATATCATACGCGCCGCCACTTAGAACGCTAATGTCGCTCTTCACATGCGTATCTTGTATTCTTTTTATCAATGCACACAAGGAAAATATCGTAATGTTACATTCCCGTAAAAATTCCCGCCGTTTTCACAGCATTAAGAGAAGTATCAGCAAAGGACAGCAAATCCCTTTTCTTTTCAGGTTAAAAAACCGATAACAATATGACTGAAATAGAAGATCATTCATTCAGTTATCTCTTTCAAATCAATTGTAAGTGGTGAGTACGCTCTCCATTTACAATCGAGTTGTGATATCCTTATTGTTATATACTATATGTTTACGTATTTTACTTTTTAAATTATGAAACAAGTTTATGTTACTATTTTTGTTGTAACTTTCAGTGCAAATGTTTCTTCAATGCAATGTATAGAGTTTGTATGATAATAACGTAATTAAATGTATTATTTAAAATATAATATTTATTTTGAACGTAAATTTTAATAAATTTGTGTAATATATTTTATTTTGTTTGTAAACATTGTATTTATTTTTTCTCTTATTAAAATAAATTTTGAAACAAATATAAATTTATATAAGAATTATATACATATATATGGACTATGTTTTTGCGCGTGCTCACTGATATGATATACAATAAGTAGGTTAGTAGTGACACCAGCGCACAAATTAGTTTCCTGTGAAGCTACTTTGAGTTACGAGGCAAACTTTATTTTATTTATTTCCTTTAAAAAGAGCTCGCTTGGGTTTCCACCCATTTTACTCCATATGCATAAAAAAACTTGATCGATCTTTTTCGCAGACTATCTCTTGTACGAAAATACACTGACAAATATTTGAATTTTCTGAAATAGTAAATACGTAAAATAAACAGTTATAAAGAAAATGTAAGTTTTACTTTTCGCTTGTACTCTTATGCAAAGAGTAGCGGTGGAACAAGAGACGACACTAGACAAGGAAACACATCTCCTAAGGAGAGACAGAGAACGCAACCAATTTAAATGCCCAAGTCCCAAGTCAAATGAACCGGAGATGCGCATGTGCATAGCGTAGAAGTATAGTGGTCGAAAAAGAATACTTTAAACCTGCACATTTAGTAATGTAATAAATATTTGGTCATATCTCTGTAATTTCTTGTGATATAGTTTTTCATTTTCTTATAAGTTATTTGTAATAATTATTTCCGTAATTCATATTCTTCAAATATATTTTGTAGAGTAATTATTTTGGTATATTCTTTTCTTTTTCAACGTCGTAAAATTGATGCAAATACTTCCAAAGATAATATTAGTATTATACAGAAAATTTATTATAAATATATTCCAAATCATTAGAGGTTGACATGAAAGTAGATTTGCTTGATTTAAATTTCCCGCTAGTTGGTACAACTAATTTAAAGGGACAGCGTTTTCGAGAGATCAAAGGTGCCGACAGAGAGTGTCACCTCTAGTCTACTCTGTGTCTTATGAGTGAAGTGACTTACCGATCCGTGAGTACCGACCACACCAAATCCCTAGAAATTCGCAACAGATGTACACGTCGATTGTAATATAGTACTATTTTATTTTACTAAATGTAGAACTTGATGCTCGAAGTTATTAACAGTTGCTAAAGAAAAGGAACAACAGTCAGTATATAGGGTATAGATGAAAATTGCTGTCATGTGGACGTGTCTTTTTCAATCTGTTGGTACATTTATTAAATAGTATTGAAGATAGATGATACATATGTATTGTGTTTAGAAAAATTATAAAAACGTGAAGACGTAGATAAATTGATCGTGAGAATGCGATGCCAGCACGTAGACGACACGTTGGTTCCGAGATAGACAATGGTTTCGTGATTACAACCTCAAACAGTCCCTGGCAGGGCAATACCATAATTCAACTGTATAATCATGAAAGTGAAGGGTGTGATTTAACGGAAAACGAAAAAAAGAAAGCAGACATACCAGCGACAATGACGTCGCGCGACAGGACCAATGAATTTGTTAATGCCATCCGGATGATGCAAAGCAGGACCGTGACACGAACGGCTGTTTTGCAGAATCCTCGTCGAGCACGTCAATTACAGAGCTATTCAAATTTTATGATGATAGCTAAGAGTATTGGCAAAAATATAGCAAGCACATATACCAAGTTAGAAAAACTTGCTTTATGTAAGACCATAGTAAACTTTTATTATTACTGCATTAAAGACATCCTATTGAAACATATGCAATGATCAAGCAATTTAAATGTAATGAAATATTTAATTATAAGTTGTACGATATAATTGGTACATTATATATTATTGATTTCTTCATTATCTCAATTTTTTTCTTAAACTGTTCCTTATTATTGATAGGCAGATTCCAGCGTATGTAGTTATAAAAAAAAATTATATGCTAATTATTTCAGTGGCAAAGAGGAAGTCTATATTTAATGACAGACAAATGGAAATTGATGAATTAACAAATATCATAAAAACAGACTTAAAAAGTTTAAATCATCAAATAGGAAAGTTACAAGAACTTGGAAAAAAGCAACGAGAAGGGTATGGTGCATCCCAAAGTCATCATATGACCTCACATTCTTCTTCCATTGTAATGACTTTACAATCAAAGCTGGCAAATATGTCAAATCATTTTAAGAGTGTATTAGAAGTCAGGTCAGAGGTACGTAAAAAGAAGAGCATATGGTAAAGCAAAAATAATATTTCTTTGAAAATCTACAGAATATGAGAGAGGAACAAAGTAGAAGACAGCAATTTACTCAAGGTTCTGTATCTACAATGTTACCTCCAAGTGTTGCTGGAAAACAGAGTTCATTGTTGCTTCAAGAACAAGAGACTCCTTTATCTACAGTTATAGATTTAGAACCAGCAATGGGACAATTAATGTTACAGCAAGGAATTCAAGATGATACTGTAAGACGTTTAATATGTATTATAAGATAACTTAGAACTAAATATATTTTAAATACAAGCCAATGAATTAATTTATTCATTAGGTTACATATGCTCAATCAAGAGCAGAAACAATGCAGAGCATAGAATCTACTATAATTGAACTCGGAGGAATTTTTCAACAATTAGCGCACATGGTTAAAGAGCAAGAAGAAATGGTGGAAAGGTAAGAATATTTTGACTATAATGTATAAGATGACAGAAGAATAGGTAGTCAAAATTTGGTAACATTTTATACTCTTCTTGAGAATGAAAAAAAATCACATAAACATAGGTCCAACAGTACTACTTTTCTCATATAAATACTGTTTGTTTGCATAAAAATTAGAATATTTTGTTATATGAAACCCTAACATGAATAGAATTATGATTACTTTTAAAACTATGATGACTTTTTTCTGTTAGAAATCAGTAATATAGAAAGGTAAGTCATCCTAATATTAAAGACAGTATATATTGTTGCAAAAGGGTACCACTTTCAATAAATGTTTTAAGTAAGCTTTAGACATTTTTACATTATTTCATCATAAACAAAAAGTATTTATTTTTTAAAAAAAGTACATTTGTGGACATATATTTATATGATCTTTTTTCGTGTTTAGGAAAAATAAAATTCAGTTACAAAGTTTGACCTCATTTCTTTTATCATGCTGTACATAACTTAAAACTTTGCTGATCAATAATTTTAAATGAAAATTACTGCACTCCGCTGGCTATTTTTTCATTAATTAATGTAAGGTAAAAACATCTAAATAAACAATAATGTATTTTAATGTATATTATAAATTGTGAATTCTTGAAAACATGAAAAGTGAATTGATATTACAAACACTATCAAGTTCTGTACTACATTCAGATGAATAATTTATTATACATTTTCTAACTATTGTTAGTAAACAGTAATTGTATTTTACTTTTTTTATAAATTATAACTACAGTAAACTGTAAGCTAATGATGGATTAACAAGATATGGACACAAAAACATAAATTTATTTGTGATTGATCAGTAAAATGTTAATAATTATATTTTTATTAAGAAATTTATACAATTTATTATACAAATGTAATCAAATTTCAGGATAGATAGCAACATTGAAGATACGGAATTAAATGTGGAAGCAGCACATGCGGAAATTTTAAAATACTTTCAATCTGTAACGAATAACCGATGGTTAATGATAAAAATATTTGCAGTGCTTATATTTTTCTTTATATTTTTTGTAGTGTTTTTGGCATAAAACAATATTATTATTATTATTATTATTATTATTATTATTATTATTATTATTATTATTATTATTATTATTATTATTATTATTATTATTATTATTATTATTATTATTATTATTATTATTATTATTATTATTATTATTATTATTATTATTATTATTATTATTATTATTATTATTATTATTATTATTATTATTATTATTATTATTATTATTATTATTATTATTATTATTATTATTATTATTATTATTATTATTATTATTATTATTATTATTATTATTATTATTATTATTATTATTATTATTATTATTATTATTATTATTATTATTATTATTATTATTATTATTATTATTATTATTATTATTATTATTATTATTATTATTATTATTATTATTATTATTATTATTATTACACATATTCCTTCATGCAACTTTGTAGTTGACCATTCATATCCATTTGTGATATAAATTGATCAAAGAGCGAGATGAATTTTTATAAAACTATGACTCACTAGCTGTAGAATAATAATATGTTCAATTGCATTCCTCGAACTCTTTGTTGAATTGTGAATACTGTAAGTATCGATAATTAAAAAATATGTCAGTGTAGATTAAAACTACATTGTTATTTGTGAACTGTAAAAAAGAAGCTATGGGTAATAAATGTATAATTTTCAATGCTTGGTAATTTCTAATGAATATATGTATTTATAAGAGAGATACGTGATAATGAATTATACAATATAACATAATAATAAATTATGGTTTATTTCAATTCTTTTAAAACCTTATATAACAGTTGCATTTAATTCGTATTACAATTGAGTTTCCGATTTAATTGTTTATGAATGCATATAAGTTCCGGACTTGAACAAAGAATTATATATACCTATATAAAGAAACAATTTTTACATACTATTCTATATAATATGTGTCAATATTCCCATAAATAATAAAATGTATATGTACAATTTGTTTTCCTGTTTTTTTTTTATATTATAACAGTGATGATATTTGACAGATGCATTTTTTGTAGCAAGCTAAGTATGTGCCTATCACATTTCAGAAGTACTATATCAAAATGTACAACTGATTTTCTATTAATATAAACATATTTTCTATCACTGTTACTTGTTTTCAAAGTTTTGTTTATGAATATCACGTTACTATAGTGACAAATGTGTTGTATGTGTGAAAATGTTTTATAACAAAATAAGAGATTTAAACTTTACTATTATGATGTGTCTTGTCCAAAGACTCTCCAGAAGAATGTAAGGAACCTGAAACGATAATTAACTGTGAGTAATACGTTATAGTTCATAATTATTTTTAAATATTAATGTCACAGAAATGTAAAGAATGTGAATTATATGCTAAAAAATTTAAATAAATGCTACTGTTAAAATATTGAAATTAAATTTTAGTTTGATTTTATATTTTAATTTATAATAACCAATTTATAATATACGCATAGTATGTATTTACAAGATTTTCCAATCATTTCTTAATTTATTATTTAATTTCAATATTTGGTATGAAAATTAAAGTAATGAACTAAACAAAATGACATCTTTTGCATTAGTAGCAAAACAAAATCAAACTCGAATCATTCAACCTGTTATATTGCATTTATTTGCAATTATTTCCCTCCATAGTACTCCAAAATTGTCTCACTTTAGAGAATCGCTTGCGTCCTTGCATGCACAACAACAAAAAAGAGCAGAAAATAATGGAGACGAAAAAAAAAGACGGAAAAACATTTTGTAACAATGAAATCGATCAATTTAATGGGTGATGTCAATGTCTTGCCGTTGCTTGTCATTTTATACACAAACCTTTGTGATTTCGTACTCGCTCTCGTTGTGGTGGATGAAAACCAGAATTGCGTGGAGGTGGCAGTGATTCTTCCCCCCACAAACGCGATGTTCCAAGGGGTGGAGGCAATATCGAACCAGGAGGGTGTGGTGGAGGTGGATGAATATCACTACCAAATGGAGGAGGTGGGGGTGATCTATGATTAAAAGGTGGAAGTAGATGCGAAGACATCGGTGGTGGTGGAGAACCTGCATTGTTATACCTGCTGGAGGCAGAAGGATGTAAAGGCATAGGTGGAGGTGAGGATAACCGACCACCTAATGGTGCTGGACGTTGACTAACTTCATACGGTGGTACTCCGGATGTATTTGGTAACGGAGGTGGCAAGTATGGAGGAAAAAGTGAATGTAAATAAGAAGGTGGGGGTGGAGGAGGAACATTTGAAGAACCAGAAAACATTATAGGAGAATTGGATGATTCTGCTCCTATGAATAATGGAGGCGACGTTGTTGTCTCTCCATTTGCTTCCAGTCCTGTTTGAAAATCAAGTTAAGAAAATACATTTTATACGCCTGAGTATCCCGTAGTATCATTTCAGTTTTACATGTACCAACAGTAGATGGACCTGAATATTTTTGATAATCTTCATTATAATTTACTTTTCAATAATCAAATTAATATACATATTTCTACACTATAACTGCTACTATTATTACAATAAAAAAATAATGTTTCATAAAATTCAATACAATTATGTAAAAGACTAAAAGTACCTGTTTAATTTACTAAAAAGGAAATAGTTATTACTACTTGAAAGAACAATGTCACAACGAGACTGCAATGACTATAAAATGAAATGTATTCAAATAAAAAATACTTTCTTGTATTATAAGTACTTACGATGTAATTTTGCTTCTGAATCCGCATCGTTAATATTCTTTTCTATTAACGTGAGTCGGTTACGTAATTGACCTGCCTCAACTTTGGACTCCTCTAAGCGCCGTTCAACTTGGCGTGCTAATACCTTAAGAAATTATTTATTCAAAACGTGACTAACATTTCAGATCATAATTAGAAGCAAGATAAGTATATAAATGTTATACCCATTGTTCATGTGCTTTTGTCTCAAGAACAGAAATTTGATTTTTGTATTCTCTTTCTTGATCCAGTATTTCCCGTTTTAACATTTCTATTTGCTGTCTGAAAATAATTATAACCATGAATGTCAGCTATGGGCATTATACAAAAAATTATTAAATTAAAAAATTTTGTAAATAATAATATTAATACTTACTTATAATTTTGTATTTCATTTTGCATTGTTTGTATTCTTTCTACAGTGGATACAACTTCGCCTTGCTGTTGCAACCAAATAGCTTCTTCCCTATCATAATGTACGAGAAATAATTTATTAAATCACATTAATTACTTCATAATAGTATTTAAATAGAATACGTCATACTTTTGCCGTTGCGCTTCTTTTTCTTCGAAGAAATTTGTTAATACTTCAAGCCGGGTTTCTGCATCTTTTTTTTCTTTTTCTGCTATCTTGCATTGTTCACTCAAGGTAGCTATTTCTTCTTTGACAGCATTCATATGCTCTGAAAAAACAATACGTTTAATTCTTCGTGTTTAATAATTTGTGAAATTATGAATATATGTAATATTATTAAATATACCTTCCAACAAATGATGTGCTCCTTCAACTTCAACTAGTCGTATTTTTAATTCATTTCTTTCTTCAAGCAAAGCTGTTGCCTCTGCTTTAATATGAAGTACATCATATAATTTGTCTAAATCTAAGTTATTGGAATTCAATCGATTAATAACTTCCAATAAATCTTTCCTTTCTATTTCTTTTTCTTTTAACTTCTTCTGTAAGGTTGTTTTTTCAGTAGAAATCTATAAACAATTATAAGTAAAAATAACTGTAAATAAAGAAGAAATGTCGCTTTCATATTATGTATTGTCAATTTATGGTGCACTTACTTCCTTGATTTGCATTTCTAATTGCTGTACCTTATCAGTCAGTGTTTGCTCAAGACAGTTTTTACTATCTTTCTCAAGTTTCAAATTTTCTGTAACCCGAGAAAGTTCAACCTCAAGTTCTTCATATTCTTTTTTAACTGTTGCTAATTTTGTCGATAAAGACTCATTCTAGAAAACATTTAACATTAAGTGACATATATGTATATATATACATAATAAAGTACAATTTATAAATATATAATAAATAAAATGTAGCGCATAAATTATTTATAATTACAAACCTCGAGTTTATCAAACTCAAGCTGCGATAAATATATACAATAAATACAATTAAAAACAGTTTGGTATTAAAAAGTATATAAATATATTGAGATATAAAATTTAAGAATAAAATGCAACAATTTATCTTACAACAGTTAAATATTTTGTAAAATATGAAAAATACGAAAAACTGTTTCAGATGAAATTATAAAATACCAAAAAACACAATTAATATTTAACTGTATATAAATAGCATTGCCAAAATTTAAGCAGTCTAGCACATTTTTAAAACAACATCTATCTTTCTGTATATTTATTTTTTCTTCCTTTTATAAAAGAAGCCTGACATTTTGACATATACATACATATAATTGGCACTTTAAGAGCCATTATATCATATAAAATTTAAATGAAAAACATCTTCAGTAGTCTTGAGAATGATTTGAGCAAAACGTAAATGAATATTATTTTGAAAACATTTCAATTTTAAATATAAGAATATAAGACTAAATTCTTCAGAACTTTTCAATTTATCATAGTATTGAATAAATATCAGTAGCATTTATTGCTGAATACCACGTAACTTTTATTTGAAACATATTTCCATATTTTTCATATATTTTGAGTTATGTAACTGCTTAAAAATACAAAAAAAATGTATATGCATACCTCTTGAGTTTTAAGATGAAGAGCATTCTTTAAAGACTCATTTGCAGTTTGTTGAGCATTCAACCTTGTTTGCAAATCTTCAACTGATTGGGCTAATGGATTAACTTCGTTATTTGATGATAGGACTTCTCGTAACATTCGTTCTAATTCTAATCCAGCTTCAGTAGCACTTTCTAAATCTTTTTCCAGAATAGTAACTTGATCTTCCAGCTCTGCTCTTGCATTCTATAAAAAATATAATATAAGTAAGTAATAAATATGCGAGTTATGAGTATATATATTAAAATAAATATATTTAAATATTAATATTTTACCTGTGAAGCCTCTAAGTCTGCCTTTAAAGAAAGCACCATTTCGTTGGAACCGAATGATTCATCTTCAATACATGTTAACTAAAATATGTTTAAGAGTATTATAGTCAAACAAATTAGTTATTAGATCAAGACATAATATAGACATATATAAAATAATTTTATTACCTTGTCTTTGGTTATTTTCAAATTTTCATTAAGCATTGCGCATTCCTTTGTCGCAACAAGTAAATCTTTTTCAAGCTTATTAACTTTGGCTATTAATTGCCTATCTCTTCTCATATTCTATATAAATACAAAGTTAATAAAATTTTATTCTATTTGTGTATATTTGTTACTCACATTTTTTTTCGTATAAATATTATTAAACAATGAATATTTGATACCTCAATGTAATAATATCCCAGAGAAAATATAAGTATTGCTGTTGCAGTAACACTTAAATAAATTAAGGTTAACCAATAACTTTGCTCTACTTTGATTCCTTCCATTATAGCATTTTCTTTTAATTGGAAAGTGTCCTCCTAGAACAATAGTCTAAAATTATTACTAATACTTAAAAATACATGATGCGCTAAGTATATATTTCCAACATATTTTACACTTACATGTATGTAATCATTTTGAATATTATCTTGGGTAGAACATTCAACATTATCGGCTATGCAAATATTGGGGGTGGAAGTTGCTACGGTAACCAGTATAAAAATTATGTAATACTATTAATTCTTTAGTATAATAACTTAAACAATTTACACTATACCTTGAATTTCGTGTAAATTTTCTGATGTCAATTCTGTCACTGATTCCGTGTCAGTATTTAAATTTTCATCTAGAATTTCATTCTCTGTAATTTTGTTATTTTTATCTTCTACTAAATCTTTATCCATCATGTTATCAGTTTCGTCTTTTGCTACATCCTCTACTTGATATAAACATAAAATAAGATTACACCTGATATTTAATTTACATTTTATTATAAATAATATAAAGTCAAAGTTGATTCTATTGAATATTAAATACCTACCAATTTCAACTTGGCTAGTTGTTTCAACATTCAATAAATTTCTATTGCGAAATTCATTAATGTTCATATTTTCTGAAATTACATCTTTGCCATCAGAATATAATAGTTGTTTTGGTAACTCCAAATCAGATTCGGTTTCTAGAACTTTGTCTGCCACATGAGGTGTGTCCACAGAATTACTTGCATCTAATACATTTTCTGAACTATCATCACCTTTTGTTGTTTCATTAGCCACTTCAGTTGTATCTTGTATTGTTTCATTAACCATTTCAATTATTTCTTCTATTGTTTCAGTAACCATTTCATTTCTTTCTGTTACTGTTTCATTAACCATTTCACTTGCTTCTTTTGTATCATGATGAGTTTCCTGTAATACACTTTGAGTCTTCTCCAACTCTTGATTATTTTCTTCCATACTAAGAGGAGGAATATTATCTTCTTTAAAAGTCAAATTTGAATCTTGAGAAATAAATGGGGCCATTTCTGCTTCAGAAATTACATCAAGTTTAGCATTTTCAGTATCAGACAATGTTTTTTCATATTCAGTCTTTAAATTAATTTCTTTACTTTCCTCATCTTTCTTAGTATCGGAAGATAATGTTAATTCAGCAGTATTCTTTGCGCTTGATTTTAGAATTAAAGATGCAACATTATTATATTTACTTAAGTCCTCAGTACTCCTGGCTTTTTCTTTTAATTGGCTTTGTTCTATTGTTAATTCTTTATTATTTTCTAATAATTTATCATCAATTTTATCAAATTTATTAGCGTGTTTCTCAGATTCTTCAGCACTTTCAGAAGGTAATGTCACTTTCACTGTATCTGTAGTATTTGTTTCCAATGGTAAAGAGACATTATTTAAATCTTCACTATGTTTATTTTCTTTTTCTAATTCATTTTGTTCTGCTTCTAAAAGTGTATCAATGTTTGAAAGCAGAGCATCTTTTTCATTAGATATGTTAATGCTTTCTGTACTTTCTACAGGTATGTTAATATCATTAATTAGATCTGTTTTATTTGACTCGACATTATCTGTATTATTCTGTTCAGCCACTATTTCATCTTTGTTCGTTAATGTTTCTTTGACATCATTAGAAAGTGTTTGAGAAACACTCATATCAATGTCACTCTTAGAGATTAATGCATCTTTTACTGGAGAAGAATTATTGTTTAAATTTTCTACTTCGTCATCTGTTTTCTTCTCAACATTTTCAGTTATATTTAATGATGGATCATGTACAACTTCAGTTTCATCTGATAAATTAAATGTTTCTTCTGAATTGGTTATAAAATGTTTAATATTAAGTTTATTGGAAGGGCTATGTTCTTCTACATTTAACTCATCATTTGAAAGTTCTTGTGGCAACTTTGTATCTTTTGTAAAAATATTTAATTCATTTTTATTATTATTGGAATTTATTTTGGAATTATCAACTGCATCTTCTTTATTTGGCACTACTGCTTTTTCTACGACTTCTGTTGGAGAAGATGATACAGAAGGCTCATCATGATTTAAATGGAATGTAATTCCATCTATATTTTCATGGGAAGAAGTCACATTATGTGGCAGTTCCTCTGTGGATTTTAAATCCAAATTGTCAGTTTCAACGTTTGAAACTTTAATATCCTTTGTATCAAATACTGATTTATCATTATCTTCCTTAGGCTGAGGCTTCTCATTAGATACTACGTTATTAGACAACTGATTAATAGGCACTTCATACTTCAAGTTCTTGTGTATAATTTTATATTCTTTAAGAAAACTTTTTGGTACATATCCACGTTTTCCATTTATCTAAAAAGAATGAATACCATTGGAAATTACATGTATAAAAGAAATATGATTTTTATATATATATACATATTTAAATAGTATTAAAAAATACCTCAACACCCCATAAGTCAGTTCTGTTGCCTGCTTCTTTACTATAAACTTTGACTTCTGCACTAATATCAAATTTCAATAATCCTGGTTCATTTGGAGCATATTTAATCGTTGTTCTAGCCAATGAAACAGGCTCTAAATAAAAAATAATGTTAAATAGTTTAAGGGAATTAAATAAAAAAATACGTTTCAAATGAGATACATATTGATGATAAAGTATGGCTTCAATTACCGGAACAGTCAGGGTTATAACATAATCGTTTATTTGATAAAGCAGACGAACACTGTGATATTGCACTAAATATTATTGCAATAACCAAAAATAATGTGTTGATAAACAAATTTCTTTTCGTCATATTTCCTCTATTGCAAAGTTCCACATCACTACTAACATATAATGACACAGCCTTGGACGCACATTTTACCCGTGAAGTAATTTACAGTAAGATGGTGCGTCGAAAGAATTATTCCTCACACTGCCTATACCTCTCTATCTGATTGGTAATTCGCTCTCGATAAAATTTAAAGATATAATTAAATTTTATATTTAATTTAATTTATATGAAAGAACATGTTACTAACCATGAAAAAATATAGAAAGTGAAAGGTTATTAATAATAAAAACTGCCAATAAAAATAGAGACCCTTTGCAAGAGGACGGAAAGCGAACAACGGTATACTCCATTCGGGAGATTACCCTTATCGTACGACGAGCTTTTGCTCATTCTACGCATGTCAAGTCTGATTGGTTCGAGTATGTTTTGTAATCAAACAACGCGCAAGCGTTTTACAATGTTCGTAATGCCGAGCGTGTATACCTAGTAAGCAAAAATATTATATACTCTCTATATTATTGCCTTTTCTCTCTATTCGCATATTTTTGTCTACTGTACGTATAAATGATTTAATGCAAAGAACAGGATAGTGGAACATGACTTATTGATGGAAAACCGACTGAAGTTAGTTCACGGAGTGCGAATTAAATAAGAATATATGCAATATTAGAGTAAAGAATAGGAATACAACAAGAAGCGATACTCAGGAAACTACTTTTTAGAGACAGACAGACTAATTTAAATGTCTAAACCAAATGAATCGGTAGTAGGGGTACAATTTCGAAGTGGTATTTCGAAATACGCATGTGCATTTCTGACGGTCGGTATGCAAGTATAGCAGTCGGCAAAGTAATATATTTGCTTAAAGTATATTGTATAATCATTTTAGTATGTTTCTCTTTTTCAACTTTTCAATATTGTAAAATTATAAAATATCAGCACTATATAGAAAATTTACGATAAATATATTTTTAATTATTAGTGGTTGACGTGAACTTGATTTAAATTTTCCGCTCGTTGACACAAACAATTTAAAGGGACTTTTCGAGATCTCAAAAGTGCCGATAAAGAGTGTCGCCTCTTGTTCTATCCCTACACTTTGATGCCAATGAAGAGTGTCGCTTTTGTCGTATCCCTACTCTTTGGTAATACCATATATGACAAACACATGTATGATGACTCAAATACTAGTATCAGTATCAATTTGAATAAGAACACGTAATTGGAATGGAATAAAATATTAATATTTGATAATGGCTTTAGTATTACGATACTGTATTTTAAGTCAATCGAAACGGCTTACACAAGAATTTCGGTTATTCCATCATAATGTTAGCAGTCATACCTACATCAATAGCAATATCAAGGTTAGAATTCTGTTTTTACAATTTCTTCTTTCATTTATGAAATAATTAATGGTTTTACTTGATTCTTTTGACATATCTTTTTCATTGATTATTACTTTGTAATCCTTACTACTTAATTACACGTGTCCTTTCATATTAATGATGATATTTGATATTTTAGAAATGTGGATCAATTGTGCATATGAAACATTTTTCTACAGAAGATGAAAAAATACATATTTACAAAGGAACTTTAACAAAGCGAGTCCGTAATCTAAAAATATTCTCTTATGCAACGTCAATTTTATCGTTCACATCACAACCTTTCATTTATATGAAAGTTTTAGAAGAAGATAATCTGACAGGTTTAGTTGCAGTATTTGCATTTTTGAACTTGGTTGCGGCATGTTCTCCACTACTTGTGCATTGGTTGGCAAAAAGATATGTAACTGACATGTACTATTACCCTAAAGAAGATAAATATGTTGCAGAAGTATATGATCTTTTTATTAACAAGAAACAGGTATGTAATTATGGAAGTTTTTTGCAAACTATTGATCAGTTATTAAACTCATCAATCTATAAGTTATTATATGCTTATTTCAGATAGTCTTCACAAACGATGAAGTAGAGATACCTGAAATAGATTCAATGCTCAGATGTTGTAGTGTAGAAGGGCATCCTCTTCTTTTCGATGAAGCAGAATTTATAGATCCTAAATATTATTGTGTTATTATGGGATATAACGATCCAATAGATTTTGAAATGGGTCCTGATGCAGCTAATGCACAAAAAGTTAAAATAGAATCAACACAAGAACAATTAAAAGATATTAAAGAGGATCGTAAACAGATAGAAGCTAAACAATAAAGACAAAATTAATTTGACATTTAAAGTAGTTTAAAGCAATTTCATTTATTACAGTTTCTTAATCTAAAATTTTTATACATTACTTAAAAGTACTATTTACGTTGCTAGGTACAAAATATGTACAGTACATTATTATGTAGAGATTGTATACTGAAAAATACAGTATCAAATTACTAAAACATATTGTTGATAAAATTTAACATAATTTCTTAATTATCCAATTTGTAAGACATCATGTATCTTCAATCGATACTTATAAATCCTCCTATTTCTTCTCATTTAAATGTACAATTTGTGTATAAAGTATGTTACAAACACAAATAATTTAACTTTGTATTTAAATTTTGAAAATCTAATAAAACCATAAATACAAGATAGTTACTTAATTATAGAATTAAGTTTTTTAGATGTAGCCTCCAGATGTAGTATAAACTATAGAAGCAATATAATGTAATTTTGTAACCGCACAAAAATGGCGGATACCGTTATTAAGAGATCACAGATTACAACCATATCCTTTGAATTCATCTCAAAGGTATGAGCAAGACAGTTATGCCAAGTTAATTGTGCAATCACTATAGACTAAGCTGGGAGCAAATCGAAGTCGTCTGAAACGTGTACCATTGGAACATGAATATCTTCTATTTGAGGTGTTGCTTTAAATTCGCATAGTCCAACTTCTTTTAACTTCCACTCCCAATCCATTCTCTGCACAGCATGCAAAGATTCTGCCTCGTTGTGATGTCTGAGTAACATTGCTTCCTAAGAAGATAATTTATATTACATTCATATTTTTGTTATTTAACTTGTGAAAGTTTAAAGCTAATCAAATTTATCAGTGTGTTACATTCTTTTAAACTGATACGCATGAAAATAAACTTATCAGTTGGTTTTCACGTAACATAAGTTAATTTAACCTGGATTATCACAGACAATGTATAGAATCACCGAATGCCTGCACAGTAATTCAGGTATAAATATAATATAGTTACTGCAAAGCTTACCTTAATTTTTTCCCATTTATCATCCACATCTTGTAACCAGCTCAGAAACAGTCTACCATTGTATCTACTCCTTGCGTTTCTGTCTTTTTCTTCTTGTTCTGGTGTAATAACATTATAAACTTCTTCATCTTTCAATATTGTACAAACAGAAAAGGGAAGAGATTGATTAGCAAGAGCTCTAGCAGCTCTACCATGTACTCTAAGAATTTCCTGTTCCACTGATAGAACTAATTTCTCTTTTTCAACTACGTGCTGCATTCTAAGACGATATCTTTCCTTTTCTTGCTCAATATATAAGTCTTTCATGGCGCCTTGTAAACCAACAGGAGGATTAACATTCGGCTCTTTATTGGCATTTCCAGCCAATACATATGTGCAACGATTCATTAAGTAGTCCTTGAAACCTTGAGGTGGTTTTGGTTGAACTGGAAAAAGGCCTTTTCTTCTTCGTTCAATCTAAACAAGTAAAAATATTTTTCATTCTATAGGATATAAATTAGAAAATATACTAAAGTTATGGTAAAAGTACGAACTTGTTTCCTGATGTTTAAAAATAATTGATAACAATTCGTAATGGGTTGGTCATGTGGATGAACTTCTGGACCTGTATTAGTCGCTTCAGATGTTTCATTTGAAGCAGCTGTAGCAGCTTGCTGCGCTTCTTTATTAGGTTTCATTTTCCTTTTTCTCGGATGAAGTTCAACAGGTGGAGCTGGAGTGCTTACATTTGACGTTGTTGACGAGGTAGTTGTAGAAGTATTTTCCGAATTTTCTACTCCTCCATCTTTCTGACATTTTCCTCCAGTTTCAGTATTTTTTTCTGACTTTTCTGCCGCAACGTTTGTCTTTGAAGTAGTGCTACTATTTGAAACTTCTGTGGAATTATTTTTATTCGATTCGGAACCAGTTGTTTCAGGTGTCGGTGAATGATGCCGTTGTTGCGGTGACGAATTATTAGAACGATCCGTAGTAGTTACCGGTAGTGGCGACGAATTTGAATAATTTCCATTACCCGCAGAGGTAGAAGTTTCTTTTAAATTTGCTGATCCATTGTTGCCATTGCCGGATCTATGTGAACTTCGAAGCACTCTCTGATGATGCGTCGATCTTTCTTCTCCATGCAAAGCACCGCTAAAATCTTTTTTATCCTCATTTTTTGTATTATTTCCACCTTCTGTAGGACTCGTTGTACCACTAGCTGACTGACTTTGATCTTTATCCGTCGAATCATTACTATTAGAACTCGCGACTACGTAAGGCAGTTGATGACTTCGATTAGATGTGCTTTTTCCATTTCTGTTCCCCTGTTCTTGTTCAGACGTAGTACTTTGCGGAATAACTATTTTTAAAGGTGGTACTTTAGGAGCTGAATTGGAATCTGAACCTTTCGATCGATCATCTTCGCCATCGGATTCTGCAGGAGCCGGTGTAGTTGTTTTCGTATTAGTTGTTGAACTAGATGGATTCGAAGGCTTCGGACTGCTCGCTACTGAAGAGGCACTCGGACTTTTCCTATCCGCAGCAATTGAAACGGCATTTTGGTTATTTTTCCCAGAAGTTGCTCCAGATCCTTGCTTAGTTGATTTCGTACACTGCAATGAAAATCAGAAATGTTATTAATTGAAATAGTCAATATATTACATAAAGCATAACAAATAATACTTGCCTTTTCCCCTGTATTAGCAGAATTTCTACCTGCACTTTGCCTTCCAGTAGTTGTGCTTTTTAAATTTTCTTTTACAGGTTCCGAATCCTTCCGCTTCTTCCGTCGATTTTCTTCATCTTGCTCCTCTGTATTGTCACTTTCAAAAGCTCGTTTAGACGAAGGCGACGCGGAAACCGTAGGAGCATCATCGCTGGATATTGACGACGTCGTTGTTTCGCCAGAAGATGTTGTACTACCAACGGTGGACACGTTGTTACCACCATTCTGACCGCCTTGATTGCTACCAGGTTTGCTGCCATCTTTATCTTTTTCTGGATTCGGATTTGGTGAAGAGCTTGCACCTCTCACTGGTGTTGGCTCTTTTGAACTTTTGAACTCATATACATCTCCACTATCAGTAGCTGATGATGTGTTTCCAGTGGTAGCAGAGCCAGAGGCGGCATTTACGGTCCCTGACGAGACGTTTGACGTCTTCGACGAATTTTCCATTTGACCTTGATTCTGTAAACATTGTTTTTCCTTGAGAAAACAAAAAAGAATTAACAGCAAATGCTGTATTAATGATATGTAAAAACTTAAAACGTTTAATGAAATTTAAATGTTTATTTTAAACGACATCGAGTACTTTTCTAATGAACATAAAGATATACTTTGTGAACACATATAACCCTTATCGCAATGTTTTACAACAGCGACCTCGGTACCGCTTACAGAATGACACGTACCACTTAAAAGCATCGTTCTTTCTAACTCGTATCTAAATTGCTGACAAAGTAAATTCATTTAATCCATGAAAAAAAGAAACCTAATTAAGCATAGTAGAAATATGAAACAAATTATTGATATAATTTCTATTTATTTTTTAATATCTTGTATTCAGCTTTATTCATTATTTATGTTTAGTTAATTTTAATAAATCAACATAGTTTTGAATATCATCGATTCTCAACTGTTTACTTATAACTATAACAAAATTTAAAAACCGCGTACTTTCGAAGCGAGTTCTTTATCAAATTTTGAAAAACTGTCGAACATATTGCACATACAAAAAAATTTGAGTTGATTTGCAGTAAAAAATTCAAGTAAGCTGCACTTTTTTAAAATAAAATATCTGCTAAAATTATAGTCATTTATTTTTAGAATTCTCTTTTAGCATCCTTTATGTTTATACACTTTATCAATATAAAAAAGTTTCATTCGTTCAAAACGAGTTAACTGCTGTTTTAATTTCATCGTGGTTTCCAAATTGCTTATTTATAAAAATGTTTATTATACACAAAAGCAAATAATAGTTGTAAGGAGAAGAATCTACATTATAAAGAGAATACGGTAAAACTTTTTATCCACGTCCTTCAGTTTTTGATAAGTTAAGAAAGCAACGCGAGGACGTACGCTCTTGAGTTAAAGTGTAGCTTTCCCATTAACAAGTATCGGTTGAATTTTCATGAATTTTAAATAGATCATACCGACTTTTTTACCGTAAATATCTGTATCTACATCGATAGATCTTCCACTTCATATTTATATATGTATTCACGCGATATCTTTAATTATATGAATTTCTAGAACGTGACAACTGTTCTATAACGATTAATTTTCTTTTTTAAATGGGAACCATTTTTGTACTAGCAGAATCTACCTCACAAACTTTTCTGCATTTATTACAATATTTTCAACATTAAATTAATAAAATATGGAATTACGAACGTTTACCTGCACGCTCACCATCTATAACATTGATCAAATATTACATCACTTGAACAAATGAAAAATTGAAACATCAGTTAAATTAACAGAATCTCCTAATAGTAATGTTATGTTATTTCTTCAAAATAGTACAAAATCTTTTACATAAATTAAGGAATATAATTTTCAGATTATTTGTGCCAAGTTTCTTAATGTCACATAATTTTTCTTTCTCAATTTTAGCTCTTACAAGTAAACCTACTGAAGTGTCACTCTCCGATTTTTCTGAAATTTGTATATGTTATAGTCCATGGAAAATTAGAGGATACGTATTTTTTTTATCTGCAGTAAAACATATTTAGGGTATGAAACAACCCCCCAAAGTGTGAGGGTAAAATGGAAAAATTGCGATAATTTTGAGATCAATGAAGCAATTTTAATAATTTTTGGTATGAAATTATCTTTCAATAGAAGACAAAAATTGGCCCAGGTATGTCGGAAGGGGAGTGAAAATTGAAACAAGGTGTTTCATGCGTAGTGCCAAACGAGCGCGGTAATTTAGGAGTTGTTTACACCCCAAATATTTATGGAAAAAAAAAAAAAAAAAAAGGGTGTTCTCTAATTAGTTTTCCTTTTGAAGTTTTACTAGATTTTATTTCGATCAGATCAAAATTGATTTTTTTTGCACCAAGAAATTGGTCACTTTAGGGATACTTCACCCCCTAATTTTCACACCCCTTCCAACATACCTGGGCCAATTTTTGTCTTCTATCGAAAGATACTTTCATACCAAAAATTATTATAATTGTTTCATTGATCTCAAAAATATCACAATTTTTCCATTTTACCCTCACACTTTGAGGAGTTGCTTCATACCCTAAATATGTTTTATCGCAGATAAAAAAAAATACGTGTCCCCTAATTTTCCATGGACTATAACATATCCAAATTTCAGAAAAATCGGAGAGTGACACTTCGGTAGGTTTACTTGTTAGTATAGCAATTTACAACATTTTTTCTCTTTGGCATATATCATTTTTATAATTTTGTTCATTACGGATTAATATTTCTCTGACACTCTGGCAATCTTAAATATATTTTGAAAAACTCAACTTAAAATATCAAGTAAATGGCGGATTAAGTGTTTATAAATGTCAACATTTTAGATTAATGATCGATCACCCACTTAAAAGCACAGTATTTGAACATGAGATCGACATATTTAAACGTTAAACACATTCGTAATATTAATGTACGCGAGCACTGATACTTTATTATTATTTGTAAAATACATATAATTAAAAGAATGTATTGAAGTTGATTCGATGATTTTCAGGTGCTGTACTGTTAAGTGGCCGATAACTTTAATTTTTAAATGTTCCATTAGTACTCCTGCAAGATAAGGCAAGTTTAATACGAGATGTACACGGCAATTTCTAAGATTAAATCGAACGTGGCCAAGGCAGTTTCTGATAATAATTCCGATTTTCAAACATTTAAATCTGATCTGAAACTGTTTTTGATAGAGATGTTATCAAGAAAGATAGCGCTAAATATCTCAATATGTATCAATAATGGATATCGAAAGTATTGGTATCTTTCGATTTATTTCTGATATGTCTAATATGAAGTTGTACCTGTGCGTTCATGCCGCCCTGACGGGAATTAGCAGTGCCCCCTCCTTTCTTCTCATCCCTCGCTCCACGCACCTGGTTGAGTCGAAGCGTCACCCTCGGCGAGCTTCCAGACTGCCCGGTTCCCGATCTATCAACTGTGGAGAACAAAATGCCGGTTAATTGTAAGAGCGGATACTAGAGAGAACGGATATCCCCACGAAAGTAATAGTACTCTTCTTCGTGCACCGAGGAAGTGCGGACGAAGGCTAAAGAAATCGAGAAGGGAAGGTAGCTGGTAGGAGGAACCGAAAGGTGGAAGGGGGCATGTTCGAAGAGTAAAACACGGCGATATAAACCCAGAAGAAAATAATGTAAGTCGTTGGGTTCCGATGATCGGGAGATGGACATTAATCACGGAACCCTCGAGAGAACGAGTTTCTGGAAGTAAGTGGGGGGTACCGATCAGCGATCGATTCATTAGTGGCTTTTTACCGAACGATCACGTTGCAGAAGGTATGCCATTAAACTCTATTCGCGTCGCTGCAGTGCGTCGCGGCCGATACGATAAGTGGAGCTTACCGTCCGATGGAATTGAGCCCCGATCTCTCGAACCTCTTACTTTCAGCTTGCAGCTGCTACACGATAAATTTTATTTCCTCTCTAAACATCGTTCCGATATTTTCATAGTATAAACAGTGGTAGTTTCATATACCTCGATACCGGGAACATTGTATCATTGAAAAGCTTTGAGATTATTTTTGGAGACATTTCCAATAAAATCCAATGTTTTCAGGTTAAGTAACAGCCACGTAAATGGAATACTAAAATTACCATGTACGTGACAAGCATGCATTCATTACGAGTACAAAAGGATCCACACAATTACACGCTTGCCACGTATAACCGCCTCGTACAGTTTAATGGTGAGGTTAGCCCGCGAATTTACAAACAAAATAGGAAGAAAATGAATTCAACGGTGAGCAATAATACTATGGCTTGTCGGCGGTTTCACGGAACGCTTGTTTCGAGAGATTCTAGGATACCCCGTCGTGCAATGTTGAAAGCGAGGCTGACGCAAGCTCTGCTCGATCAATATGTAATTGAATCTACGAGTTAACGCGACCGTCACCATAATTTCAGAATTCAGATCGATAAGCGCCGAAATATATATGTATACACCAACTTTGTCTGAGCTAACGATTGATTTCTCCAACGATTATTCACGCAAATAATCTGTACATACTTTTATTAAGATCTCTTTTAGTTGGTCATTGATCGTAGCCCCCTCCTCCCGATATTCCCTTTCTCTATCCCGCTTGGAAGAGGGAATTGTGCCAATGAAACTTGGCGCTTGCAAATAGTATATCCCAAAATACATCAAGTCCACTAGTCAATGAAGTCGTGGTTGTTTGCCGCCCTAACAGCATTAACGATTCACGGAAACTAAGAATTTCTCTATACACGGACTTAATGTTTCCTAACGAGCTCATAAAATTCCCTCTAATACAAGTACTCTCCTTTCAAAATGAATTTTTAATACATTTTATTTAAAAAAGAACAAATACAAATAAACGAAATTTTATCAGGTTTTTGTTCGAAATTAACTGTTTAAATTATAATATACATTTAATTATACTTTTCTTTAACTACTATATTAGATATGTACAGAATTTTAGAAATTCTAAATAAATTTTAGCGCGAAGAAAAATATGTCATGACTACGTCGACTTAATTTTTTTTACCATCAACCATTTTTAACAATTTAATACAAGAAAAGTAAATTTACAATATTCTAAACATTTTTCACTAAGCCCCTTAATTTTTCAACGAAATAAATTATTTATTAGAGGATCGTTAATAAAACATTTGATTTAGTGTTCATACATAAGTTGAATTTACTGTTTAGTACAATATTCGGTAGTGGTAATCTTTCGTGTATAAAGAATGTTTGTCACCGATGCTACCACTGGCGATATGAACAAACGTAGTATAATATCGTATAGAAAGAGAGTACATATTTGTGGAACATTCTAACCGCGAAATGACGATATGCAAATATCACAGTGTATTCACGTACGTGCTTCTCAGAATGCAGCGTATATTATTTTGTAGCGTATTCTGCCCTCCCACTTCCTGCTGCACGAGATCTGTCTTCGAGCGTGAGTTATCGGTGCGTTAAAAAACTATTGACCATATAGCGATTAATTGGTTTTCTCTCTGTTAATGTGCTTAAATAATATGCTATAGGTTTCTAATAGAAGGTCGACAACGTAAAACTGATTTGAAATATTTGTTATATCAAACATTGCCGATCGATAAGATATTCGAAATACGTAATTCCAGAAAATATGCTGTATGTAGTTACTTACGTTATCTTATTTCAATGGAGGAATGTTTAATAATAGATTCTTTCTACTTTTTGCGTTCCTGACCTTGTAAAGAAATCGAGAACAAGTTCTTAACTGGCGTTGGAGATACTGCACACGCTTTTTGGCCGATAACGTAGCATGCTTTATCGGGTACTGCTTTGCCAGCGAAGTTCATTAACTTACTGCAGAACGCAGTAAATCGTACAACTGAAGACGCAAGCTGACACAAGACAATTGTTTTTGAAATTAAATTCTGTGCTAATATATACTGTTTAATATACCGCTTTATATAAGCGGAATAATTATAAAATTCATCGAATAATATTGATACTGTAATCATTTAGAAAAAAGGTTTCCTGATGGAGGTTAATTTCACAAGTATTTTATAATGGTCGATCAATTACTGACGTATCGGTTTAAATTTCGTTATCGATCAGTACAATGACGAAATATGTTATAGCGAGAATCAAGGTCAGCCCAAATACCACTTTGCGAAGTGTCACCGTTTCCTCCTACGGTCCGTTGGTTTATATGAAGAAAGATTAGCATATCACTTGAGCTGAAGTTTAAAAGATTTCATTTACATTGAAAGTGAGCACGGAACACGCTATATCGTGTTTCAAACATGTTCCACGAAACGCATAAGACAAAGTATGTAACCGGTTCTGATCTCACTACACATACGTTTAATTGCCACGGTTAAATATTTCCAAGCCTTCGATTTAACTTCGTTAACGGCCAATAAATTCTAGCAACGATATTAGCACCGTCAGTGCATTAAAGTTAACACGTTCTGTGTTGTCAATAACGAAACTCGAATATTAATTACGAGGATAAATCATTTAGACATCTGTCCTGTACTTGCAACTCTGAACGGAAAATCGAGAATTTCTAGTGCACATTAGAATAAAAACAAAGAGATGTAAATACACCTTGTAAATTTGTTAGAAATTGGTACGTTGTTGCAGCAACTACAACATAGACCCCTTTCGGAGGTACGATCACCCTGGTGGTGTCGATGGACGCAGTCCGCGAGCGCAAACGTGTCCAATGTACTTGCCAGTCAGCATGTTCCCTTTTCACTCGCTCCACAACTTCTCCCTCTTTTTCTCCCCTTCCTCTCTCGTGCTCCTTTCTCTCTCACCTTTGAGAAGTCTGCCTTTGTCCCACTCTCCTTCGACAGCAAAGACCAGAAGAGATGTGTTCCAAGGTTCGGCACTCCCGTTCGAACGATGCTTCTTTTAGCGAGGTTAATCGAAGTAAACGAGACAATACAAAGCGACGACGCACGCAAGTAAGAAAGTCGAAACACGCGCCGAGCCACGTGGTCGTCAGTACTTTCTAGTAACGGTACTTTTGGGTCATCCAATAGTGACAGCAGGGGTCCCGAGCGTACAGAGACGTAGCCACGAATACGTACCTGGCTCATGCGACAGGGCCACTGACAATACGTAGCGTAACGATAAAGGTCCCGATATAGCACTACGAGCAGACAAGGAGGACAATGACGATCAGCGCGACGACGAGCAAGAGAGGTTCAGTAGCCGCGGCAGCAGCGTGTGTACACTACTGCCGCTTGCACGGCTCCCACACAACGCGCGAAAGCGAAGACACTGAAAGCTAAGAGAGAGAGAGGAATCGGATAGCGACTGTGTCGCCGCGTCTCCATCTCGACTAACTTCTACCAGGCGCGGCACTGCATCGCGCGCACGATAGGTACCGACGCGACGCGTCACTACTCGGGAATGTCACGTCTAATTAAGTGCTGTTTCTGCATCGCTCGCTATTATTACCGATCAGTGATGATTGTACACTTGCGCGTATCTACATAATATGTGAACGATCTGCCGTATGCGCACGCTTGTACGAATAAACTAAAAACCCACTGAATATTCATAACGAATATATCTTCTTGTGGAAGGAAAGGCTTTCTCGGTTTATTACGAATACTTGTAGGATAAAATTGCATTCGTCATAATGTAGTAAAAATCGTTTCGTTGAACTATAATGATATTGAAAGGAAGTTATTCAGGTGCAAATATAAATAACTTTGCTTTTATAATGGACATATGAGCTTTAAAAAAAATACGGTCTTCGATATGAATAAGTATGTGAACACTTTTTTTGAATTTTTATGCCGCTTATTTTGTTAAAAAATGACAATTGAAACGCGATTAAAAACATATGAAATTGTGCCACAACAACGTAAGTACAATTTCTATCGTAACAGTAAATTTCAGAACAATACTAGAGTTAAGGTTTACTATGAGAAACTTCTTTGAATAAACGAAAATATGTTGAAATATTTTTGAAATATTATTTAAATTTTACATTTCGGATGATGTTAAAATACAGTATATTTTTACTATGTATCGATGTATCTGTCATATTCGGCAAATACGTTGGTTACTACTATGTCGGTAAGTACGGATTCATTATGTCGGTAAAGAAACACGGTTAATTCAGTTATCATACAATTTATAGCATATATAAAAACTATAAATCTTACCTAATTTTAAATGCATTTTCCAGAAATAATATATTATATTGTACAATATGGAAATTAAAAATTCTATACAATTAAAATGTTAGAAATATTATTTCCATTTTCATAAAATATACTATGAGAAAACATATTTTTTAGTTCCATAAGCTCCATTATCTGTTATTTTAAAGCTTTATTATTTCACAGTATTTATACGAAATCCTTATTTAAAAAATACAAATGTGAACTTTTAACTGAAAATGATCTATTTATCAAATATCCTGACATAATTTTTTTATTCAAAAACATGTTATTTTACTCAAGACCCAGAACAATAATAGAAAGACTAAAAGTGATTTTAAAAAAATTAAAACAAAAATGTAAAGTAATTAAAATCATTGCTACGTTGTATCTAAGTTTGTACAGAAATTATAACTCTGTTTAAGAGTATAGTTTGATTTTTTCAGTACTTGTTTGTTTAAAATAATATTTTGTTCACGACAGGCGTGAACTCACCTTTATTTTGCGGTGGTGTCCTCCGCATCTCACAGGGGGCTCCACTGTCTTCAGCAACGTGCTGTGCAACGGCTGGTGCACTTCCGGTCGTACGTTGCTGTTGTTGGAACTGAGAATGGTGATGTTGGTAAAGCTGTTGTTGTTGTTGTTGTTGCTCCTGCTCTTGCTCGTTTGACGGCGCTGCTGCGCTCGTTTCACCTGGAGAGCATGGGCTATTAGGGGCAACTGTTGTACTCTCATCAGGTGAACTTACACCTGTAATATCTGCGATCACAAACGAAATAGAAATAAACACTCATGGATGTACTCTTGTAATTATTATACATTTTTAACATTTAATTTTAATTTCAATAAATGTGATATTTAGAATGTAAAATAATGAAACTAGCTCAAGGTAAATGTTCAATAGAATACACAAGCAATTTCTAATGTCACAGTTTTACTACTTCATTATACTTAACAGTAACTTGTTCAATATTTTAAACAAAATAACATTCTTTGAATTATATTAATGCAATAATTTCATCTCACTCAAAGTTTATACAATTTATGAACACAATATGAACACTTAGAGTAAGGAAACTGTACGAATGATCAATCTCAAAAAAACTTGCACACTTCTAACTTGTTTGAATTTGAAACGTTTGACTAGTATTTTCACAGTTTTGTTTATGTTTGTGTAAAAAAGATTTCAGTTATTCCGTCCTTCACCCTGTTGTCAATACAATTTTATACGAACACACGCATAATTAGGCAGTAATTAATTGACAAAAGGTGGCTTCTTTTACGCACAGAGCAAGGTCCAAAGCAGATTTATAATACTTCAAAATATGATGGATGTGTTATCATCGTTCTTGATAATCTTCTATAGCTCAATTATACTGGCAGCTCGAAGTCTTTCGTTTCAATTCATTTTCACGGATACTTTTGATCGTATTGACATCGGATCACTTTTATTTTTGTGACGAATAGGTATCTTCCTGGTTTTCTTTTTTTCTTGTGGGGCCAATTGTCACGCTGATCTTGATGATTCAAAGGCGGTCAGGGCGACATCTGTCGGTCCGCCGGGGGAAAGTCCGTACGTGTACGTGCTCGACGTGCACGCGAACACGGCCCCTCGCGAACTAGAGGCCATGTTGCGTCGCTATGTCGACGATTGGCCCCGCCTTTCCCCGCGTCTCCCCACCAACGGTGAGTCTCGAACGCTCTTTTTCGCCAATCCGAATCAAGCTGATCCCGCCAACGACATTGTCGGTGGTGCGCTGTACAAGACGTCCGTGAAATCTATGTTTGTGTGCATTCTACACTGCAGGAAAGGCACAGCTGTATACATATACTCGATGCTGATGGATATGCCGAAACCATACATGCTTATAGCTACATCCTATAACTGCACATGTGTCGGTGGCAGCATTTCCTCACGTGCCGCTCCTGCGCTCAGCACACCAGTCGCATTATCGCTTACTTTCCGAGCGTGTGCGCGCCCTGCGCCAAATAGAGCTGTAGAAGGATGCAGGCCTTCGCTTATGTAGCAGAGAAAAACGTAGGAACTTTTTACTTTTTCGTTAAATCAAAAATACAATTTTCGTAGCGTTCTTTTGTTCGAAACTGATCTAGTAATCTTTTTTTTAATTATTTAACGGATTATAGTTGTCAGTAGAAAGAACAATGGTTTGAAATTCGTAAGTTACTCTGTCAGTGCTATCAAATTTCTACTTTTACTCGTATAATCTACTTCTTATTCTTCTTTTTTATTGACCATATTCACATTACTGAATGCAGATATTCTTATGACGAAAACTTTAAGGCAAATTATTTGTCGTTTTCAAACTACATCTGTACTTTCGTTGCTAAATCAAATCGTTCGTATATCAAACATTCGAAGAATTCGTACAAAAGAATAGAATATTAAAAAAAAAATCGCAATTATTATTTCTCATTTATAAACTGTAAACTGTAGCAGCGTAATGATTCAAGATGACCGTACAAGTCTCACGAATAATGGGTAACTTTTTTAAGAGCAGCAGATGAAATCAACTCTGTAACTGTTTATGTCCGAGAATTAATGAAGGGCAGAGTAAATAAATGAGATGTAGGGAAGACGGGAAAAACGAAGAACAAAGAAAGTGCAGAGGGCTTGATAAAGTGAAAACTCATTTCGGTAGGATGCCAAACTGCCATGAGAAGAAGACCGCTGCTCGGTCGACGTGTGGCTTACTAGTGAATGCGAAAGGGACGAGACATGCTCTCCGGGTATTTACACACATGAAAAGCAACGTTTACTTTAAAGGAGATAGACTAGCGCGATTGTTGCGGTCACCTTGCTTTTTTAGTTCTTTTTTTCTTTTGAATACCAATCTCCTTGAGTGTAACAAATGCTTGCCTACGGACAGACGCAACGAAGATAATAGAAAAGCCTGAATTTCTTAACAATAGAATTTTTGCAACATCAAATCCCCCACATTGCCACTATCTCTTTCGCTATCATCGAAACTCGTATCGAAGTATATATTTGTTTCCATAAACGTTGTAGTGACTATTTTCCCAAAGCGACAAATTTATCATTTTATATAACATTGTTTTTCAATGATATATTAGTTAATCAATATTGAATCTTCCATTAAGTAGATTGCCTCGAGTGGACTGTTATAAATTATGATTAAAGTTGTGTTGTGCGTCTCTAGAAGTACTTTAAATCCACAGTTGTTATGTGTGTCGATATTGTACAAGATGTACGTACGTGTACTAATCTTAACTAAAAAAATGATAAAAAGAGTTACTTCAGGAATGTAAGAAATATTCTTTCGAGATACACTGATCATTTATGCGTATTATACATGCACAGATATTAAGATTACAAATAATATTGAAAATAATATCTTGATAGTAATGATATTTCTGACAGATTAACTGTACTGCAGCTTAAATAATTGACGAGAAAAATATTTATTTATTGTTTTATTTAATAAAGCGTTTTACTTGCTTTGAATCAGCAATATGTCTAAAATTATGTGCTCTGTGATTTAAATTTTTGAGCAATTCTACAATACAATTAATTCATTTATCATATTTTCCGATTTTCTAATTTTTGGATTGTTGTGATAATCACAAAATGTCAGTACGTCATTTCACAATGTTCAAATTTTTCTCCTATTCTTCTTGTCTTTAATCAAGAATTTAATACCTGATTTCTTGAAATTATAAGAAAGAAGTAAGTGGGTGAATTAAGATCATATGTAATACATGACTGTCATGATGAAGACATCAGATTCTTCAAGCAGCAAATGGCAGCGAAATACCAAATCGCATAGCGCGGCGATATAATTGGAGTGACGACGATATATTGCTAGTTGTTGCTCGAAGTTTAAAGGGACATGCACGACGTGTGTATGATGAGGAGTTAGTTAACGATCATACGTGGAGGTCGTTGAAAACGATTCTATTGAGACGTTTTAAGAAGCCGTTACCGTTTGCGCGATTATTATTGGAAGCAGCCACCTATACGGCCAGTGCCGGACAACATTTGGGAGATTATTGTTTCGAAAAGTTGTCGAAATTGCGTGCTCTCAAATTGGATATTCCGGACGCTTACCTGGCAGACGCGGTAATCGGCGGCATCCAGGATGAAAACGTGACCAGGACCATCAGGTCAAAACGGTACAAGGACGCAGACGAACTGTACGCAGCAATGAATGAGATGGGAGCTATGCCGCAACGGACAGATAGCGAAAATGAAAACGAAGTATTTACGCCGACGGGAAGCCCTGGGTCATCGACGACCGAGGGATAGATTCAACAATCGGCGGTGATATGTTATAATTGCAGGGAAGTTGGACATTTCTCTGCCCAATGCAGCAAAGAACGAAGTATTTGCACGTTCTGCAATAAATCGGGGCACTTGGATAAATTTTGTTTCAGGTTAAGACAGGTTAATATTGAACAATGAGCGATATATTGGCGTTTACGCATTGACGGCGACGGCAACAAAAACGGACAACGATACGGTTGAACTCGACGAGAGGCCAGCAGGTATCAACAGGGAGACTTGGTAACGGCCAAAATGACCATTGACCGAACGACGGGAGAAAGCAGGTAGCTTTGTTCCAAAATCAAAGAGCCGGTCAGGATGCAGCAGACACGTAAATAACTGTTACGAAGTCAAGGGTTTAATAAAGGGAGGTAGACGAGTCAAACTCGCTTTCCTGGTAAAATTGAAATCTTGAGTTGTAGACGGTATGTTAATGTATGTTCTATTCTCGTTCTGTTTAGTGTTATCACGAGTATGTAACTCGTGGTAGTTAGTACACGGCAACAGCAGCGGTCGAAGGTCACCGGTTACAGCTGTTGCTTATGGATATCATCATCTTCGGCAGCATGAAATAAGTCATCGCTGGAAAAGAAGATGTTTTGTTACATCGTGTCGGGGCGATAGAGATCGGCCCCGGCCGATGCTGCTGGTGTGATGCTTGTAGAGGTGGCGTGGCCACTTGCAAGATCATACTGAAGCTGTCATGTCAGTGAGCAAGGTTGCTACTGAATGATGGAAAGAGGTCCTAATTGTCAACGGTGAAATGTGTTCGCTGTTGTTTGGTTACCACCTCTTCGCCGAATTCCAGTAGTGGTGGTGCACAACTACTACTGGAGACCGATGAGCGTTTCATGGTGATAGTTCTTATTGCCTGATCTGCGAAGCCGACATGTCAGTGAGCAGGGTTGCTACTGAATGTTGAGAAAAAGGTTCTGATTGTCAACGGTGAAACGTGTTCGCCGTTGTTCTATGACGTCCTTTTAGCCGGAGGCCAGTAGTGGTGGTGCACCACTACTGGATACGATGAGCGGTCACGACAATAGTTCTTATTGTCTGATTCGCGAAAGTGTCATGACAGAGAGCAGATGCTGCAGACTGTCATGATGAAGACATCAGATTCTTCAAGCAGCAAATGGCAGCGGAATACCAGAGACATCAGTAAGGGGTTGCAACTTGGCAACTCTGACGAGATCCAGAAATCGAGCGATGAACAAGAGTCATCGCTGATAAAAGCTGATCAACGGCAAAGGCAAAAGCCGTGACCAGAAAGGGGAGTAATAGTGGCTACTATTTATCGATTATTCGTAGAATATTCTTTCGAGGCTCGAATTGATATTTTAGAGATTGAACAATATACTCAGGCAAATGCTGAATCTTTTGTTACAGAAACCTATTGAAAACCATGCTTGAGGACAAGCATATTTGCAGGCTGGCCGAGTGTTAGAAAATCCCAGTGACTCACCCTAACAAAGCAGGGACGACGGGCACATGGCCGTCCTACGA